GGAACTCGGCATGTGGTGGAGCTAGGAAGAAAGGCGGGGTTGGGGGTGCGGGGCTGAATGGCCCAGAATGTCTCAGGGAACTGAGGCTGGAAGAACAAGGGGCCGAGAAAGAGACAAAATTTTCTCCAGCATGCTTGGAGGGCTGGGGTGTGTGTGTGTGCGCGCGCGCGCGTGTGTGTGTTGGCCAATACTTTCAGTGTCTTCATCTTCCATCTAACTCCGCCTCCAACTTTCTTCTTTTCCTTCCCCGGCGACTTTGTTCGATCCGAGGAGTTAATGGTTTGGAGCCCTGAGTTAGGATTGTGTTAAATCTGCATTCTCTTCCTGACCCGGTAACTGAACTATTCCCCTTTAACAGCCCCCTCCCCTTTCCCTGGGCGGTAGAACTCGGCTCCTCGGGCGTTTTCTTTTCAAGTACACTAGTTTTTCTCCTGGAATTTGTTACCTAACTTTTCTTCACCACCATGAAAAAGCGACAGGAGAGAAGTTTGACTTGGGGAAGGAAGAGAACGTGGACTTCAGGATAGGGGTCTAGGTTCGATTTAGCTTCGAGTTCCCCTCCCCCACTTTTGTGGAGGGAATTGGGGTGTTGGGGGAGGGTCAAATCATGGGGAGCTTGGTGGAATGTGCCCGACTTCCACCCCCTAAACCCCCATAATCGGTTTTTATTTTGCTCCCCTTCAAAGCCCCGGAGTTCGACTGGCGTCTGGAGCAATTTATTATTGTTGATCGGTTTATTTCAGCATCCCTCTCTGCCTCCCATCTAGTATGTGACGTGGGTGACAATGTCTCCAGGCTGAGCGAGCCCTTCGGCGCATCCTGGGTGGTCGGACCGGGCAAACACAAATACAAACCGATTGCTAAGCTGCGGACAATGGGCGAAATGTAGACAAATGTCCTGCTCCTGTTGGAAGCTTTTGTCCGGGCTCGGTTTTTGCATTTATTTCAGTGGCGAAATAATGCATGATTGACGCCCTCTTTCAGCGTGTCCTAACTGTTTGGAATAAATCTAAGGTTGTTCCTAGTTGTCATGGCATTCAACTGCTCTCAATGGACTATCTCTTCATTCATTTCGGAATCTATCCACAATATTAAGGAAACCCCTTCATGTTGACGGTCCCCAATTCCTCTCTGTCTCTACTCGGTACACTTTTCTTCTTTTTCTTTCTTTCTTTCTTCTTCTTCTTTTTCTTCTTCTTCTTCTTCTTCTTTTTTTTTTGCTGTACGATTAGAAAATGGATTGAATTGCATCCCTGATACCCATTACTTTGCTCTCCCTCCACCCCCCACATGTGTCTCTCACTCACTTTTCCCCCTCTTTTCACGTGGGAGCTCTTTGGCCTCTAGGGCAGTGTGTCTAGGTTGGAGGTGCAGAAGAAAAACAGAGTAGAGTTCAGCAGGGTTTGGACCCAGGGGCCTAGAGGTTTCCTTTTCCATTGTTGTCTAACTGTTAAATAAATCACTAAATACCTACTCCCTTTAGATACAAGAAAATAAAGCGCTGCTGCCTCGATTCCTCAATCTAGCAATCCAAGCTGGATCCTCCTTTTGTCCCTTCTCTGCTCCCCATCCCCCTACCTTGCCTTTGACCCATCTCTGGGAATAGGAGTGACTCGGGGAAGGGGCACTCTGCAACCTTCAGTTATGCTGACTTGAAGGCAAGCTAAACCCTCGGAAATCAGTTGGAAAGCTTTTTTCTTAGGATTGTAACATTGTGCCAGGGGTTGAGAAGACATCTTTACTTTGGAGTGTTGGTGTGTTAATGTTGGGAAGTTTGATCCTTTACCCCTCATACAGTCTTTCCATCTTTTATACCACTAACACTACCCTAGAGACAGATTGACTCCAGTACCTAGGTTCTTGGAAGTAGGCCTCACCCTGTGTTAGTCTGAGACACTACTTAGACTCTCCAGGGAACTCCTTGCTGTATTAACTTTCTGGGCTGGAAAAGTCAAAGAGGTGTGTGTGTGTGTGTGTGTGTGTGTGTCTGTGTGTGTGTGTGCTGTGTGTGACTGGCAAGGTGCTAGTCCCCCAGACCTCCCACCCACCTCCTTTCCAGGATCTAGCCTGAGTTGGCCATCCCCTTTCATTCTTTCCCCTTCCCCTCCCCTCTAGGGAGCCTATGGGATGCACAGACCACCTGATAGGTAAATATTTTCCTGGGTTCTCAGAATTAATCAACTAGGCCTCTCAAAGGCCTATTGAAAAAGCCACAGTCTGGCCCCCAGTCTCCCCTGTGCTGCTCACAAAGATGTAGTAGGAATTTCACTCCCTGTTCTTACCAAAGTCATCTCCTTATCCCAGGTCTACTCTCTGCACAACTTTTCAGGATCCCAGAGAACAACTTCCCTTCACATCCAATGCACCTGCACATGCCTACCCAGCCAACGACCCATCTTCTTCTTCATCTTCATCATCTTCTTCTTCTTCTTCTTCTTCTTCTTCTTCTTCTCTCTCAACACACTCAAGTTAATTTTATTTTTTAAACTTTACTGGTTTCCCAAGGTCATTCTTAATCTGGGAATGAATGTAGGGTTACTCTCTCTCATTCTTTGTTTTGTTTCCCTGCCTCCTCTTCCACTCTTTAACATTTCCTTCTTAGAAGTGGGAGGGAAATTTGATGTTTCTCTCCTAGGATGGTTTTTTCGAATATCTTCCTCACAGCCCAGTCAGTTGCACATGTGGCTCCCATGCCAGAGCTTCCCAAGACCTGACATTTGCAATTGAAAAGGGCCACCGAAAGCAACTGAGAGTGCTGTAATTGAGGGGGAGAAACTGGGCTTGTTATGGGAAGATCATAAAATAGAAATCTCCAAGGAGAGGTGTATAGGATTGGGGAAGGCACAGAGTTGCTGTGTTGGGATTCTGCTGGCCTGGTAGAAGACCTGCTGTGGAAACTATCCTAGACTCCGTCCCTATCTTTGGGTGCAGAACTGAGAGGGTGGCCTAGGACCTGAAGCTGAGACCTTGGGGAGAGAAAGTGCAAAATGCCTATTTTATGCAGTTGCTGAAGCCCAGACTCAAATTAAGCAGGAGATTAAGCACTATTGACTCAGAGAGAGAGAGAAAGAGAGAGAGAGAGAGAGAGAGAGAGAGAGAGAGAGAGAGAGAGAGAAGCAGCAGCAGCCTGGTTTCTTCCAGTGCCATTTCTGGGGACTTTGGATTGTTCAGGCCAAAATAACCAGGTGGGAAGCCCCCCAGTAGAATCTGGAGCTGCAGAAATGTCCACTGGTAACTCTTAAAGGTAGCATGCACCTGACTAGTAACAGTTCACCTTTCTTTTCTGCTTAATTTATATTTTCTTTCTTTTTCCCTCCTGCTTTGGAGTTACATTTTTAAGGAATTCATTTTTTTCACTTCTTTTTGCCAGATATATTCAATCTTCACC